TTTCTGCTTCTAGTTGCATCCCTTGACTAAAATCGGCCAAAAAGTCTGCTAACACCTGTGATTTTATTGCAGTTCTAGGTTGATATGTGATGTCATATTCACTCAATTCTATGGCCCACTTGGCTAACCTACCCGATAGTTCCTGTTTGTGTAATATATTACGCAAGGGATAAGCAGTCACTACAGAGATAGGATGGCATTGAAAATAAGGCCTTAATTTTCTAGATGCCATGATTAATGCAAGTGCAAGTTTTTCTAGTTGAGGATACCGTGTTTCCGCATCTAATAATGATTTGCTAACATAATAAATTGGAGACTGTTTACCTTGGTCTTCACGAACCAAAACAGCACTTACCGCTACTTCTGAAACAGCTAAATAGATAAGCAACCTTTCCCTATCTTTTGGTTTTGCGAGCAACGGTGGATTTGACAGGTACGTCTTCAAGTTTTTGAGTGCTTGTTGACACTCCTCAGACCATTCGAACTGATCTTGCTTTTTAAGAGCTGAAAAGAATTTAAAGCATTTTTCTGAAGACTTAGAAATAAATCTCCCCAAGGCTGCAATTCTTCCCGTTAGTCTCTGTACTTCCTTCTTATTTGTAAGCATGTCAGGAATTTCTTCAATGGCTTTAATCTGTGCGGGATTTACTTCAATGCCACGGTTAGAAACAAGAAAACCTAAAAACTTACCTGATGAGACGCCAAATGCACATTTCTCGGGATTTAGCTTCATATTGAACTTTCGTAAGATCTGAAATGTATCAAACAAATGTGGTATATGGTCCCCTGATTGTTGAGATTTGACAAGCATATCATCTATGTAAACTTCCATAGTTTTTCCTAGATGTTCTTGAAACATCTTGGTCACCAACCTTTGATACGTGGCACCAGCGTTTTTGAGACCAAAGGACATTACTTTATAATAGTAAGTCCCCTTGTCTGTTATAAATGAAGTTTTTTCCTCATCTAGGGGATCCATTTTAATCTGATTATACCCTGAATATGCATCTAAGAAGCTTAACAATTCATGTCTTGCAGTAGCATCAATCAGTTGATCTATATGTGGTAACGGAAAAGAATCTTTAGGACAAGCTTTGTTAAGGTCGGTGTAGTCTACACAAACTCGCCATTTGCCATTCTTTTTTGGTACCACTACAGTATTAGCTAAACAATTAGGATACTTTACCTCGCGGATAGAGCCTATTTTTAAAAGTTTTTGGACCTCATCTTGAATCACCTGATTTTTGAAAGACCCCTGCTTTCTCTTCTTTTGTTTGATAGGTGGATATGATAGATCTTCATTTAACTTGTGAGTCATTACCTCCGGGGGTATCCCTGTCATATCAGAATGGGACCAGGCAAAGCAATCCAAGTTAGTTTTCAAAAATTCGAACAGCTTACCTTTCATTTTGTGGCTTAAGTTGGCCCCAATGTAAACTTTCCTCTCAGGCTTTTGTTCGAATAATTCTACAGCCTCCAACTCTTCAATCGTTGTTTTGATAATTACATTTTCTTCTGGTTCTTGGATGAAATCAGGTCGTGAGTCCACATCTGTTTGCCCATCTCCGGTTGAGTTTTGTGGTGTGGCATCCTCAACTGGATTCTATAATTGCTATTTTTCTTCATTTTTTGTGCTTGAATTTTCTACGGAGTTGATGCTTCAAGGTGTTTTTTGATCACCGCGGATTTGACGGATTCCCCATTGTGATGGGAATTTGATGACTTGATGTAAGGTAGATGGCACAACGTCCATTTCGTGAATCTATGGTCTCTCGAGAATCATATTGTAAGCCATATCCATCTCTACCACCTGAAATTCCGTATCTTTGATAACTCCTTCTGTGAATGTTGTAAGTATTACTTCTCCTTTTGTTACGACGCTCGAATTATCAAAGCCAGATAAAGTATGCGCCTTGGGTACTAGCTTATCTTCAGCTTGCATCTCGTTTAATACTCTTAGAAAAATGATGTTCACGGAGCTACCTGGGTCAATCAAAACTCGTTTTACGTTAGTATCATGTAAAAGTAGAGATATTACCAGTGCATCATTGTGTGGAGTTGGTATGCCGTCCGCGTCTGCATCATCAAATGTAATGCTTTCTTCCTCCAAAACATGTCGTACCCGCTTCCCGTGTGTAACTGTAACTTTAGAAATTTTCTTGGCTGCCGTATATGTCACACCGTTAATTTCTTCGCCCCCGCTTATAACGTTAACGGTCCTTTTCGGAGAAGGAGGTTTAGGGGGCTCCTGCCTGTTCTTCATGTATGCTTGCTTACCTTTTTCGCTAAATAGTTTGGTAAGATACCCTTGCTTTAATAAATGGTCTACCTCACCTTGTAGCAATCTACAATCTACCGTTTATGACCATGATCATTGTGAAATTCACACCAGTGATCAGGGTTACGCCTATTTTGGATTTGATCTCATTTCTTTTGGCCACCACACCTTATCACCCATGTTTCTTAATACCGCTACTAATTCTAAAGTCTTACATGGAAACTGTAACCGCCAATCATCGCCTTAGAGCTTCTATCATCACCGCGTGTCCCGCTCTTTTCTGAACCTTGAAGATGAACCTAATTCTCTATCTCTCGACCTACGATCGTACCTTGAGTTATCCTGTTTCGATCGTGAGTCTTTTCCCGCTGGTCCCATGTAAGGCTCGTATCTGTTTTTCCCATACCTTTTTTCAGTTTCAGCATGCCTTGAACTTACCCTCTCTTACTTTTGAAGGTGTGTAATAGTATCTTCTTCTATCCGCAGCTTCGTGTTGTATCTGTTGTAAACGTCATTCCAAGTTGTTGCTGGAAATTCTCGTAGGCTTTCCTTGAGTCGTCTCGTGGCCTCCGAACTCTTCTCATTTAGATTGCTGGTAAATGCTATAGCTGCCCAGTTATCAGGTACGGGTGGCAACATCATTCTTTCACGCTGGAATCTGTCTACAAATTCCCTGAGCAACTCTGAATCTCCTTGTTTTATTTTGAAAATATTTTCCATTCTTTTTTTGACTTTTTGAGCTCCCGAATGTGCTTTGATAAATGAATCTGCAAGCTCAGCAAAAGAATTTATAGAATTTTCGGGTAAAAGAGAATACCATGTTAATGCTCCCTTAGTGAGTGTTTCACCGAATTTTTTGACCAATACTGATTCAATTTCCTGTTTGGTCAAGTCATTGCCCTTTACACCAGTTGTGAATGCAGTCACGTGGTCTCGTGGATCAGTTGTTCCATCGTATTTTGGAATATCGGGCATCTTGAATTCTTAGGAATTGGGAGAGGAGCAGCGTTTGGCTCCCAAGGTTGTTGCGAATATTTGTCCATATCCACTCCCTTGATTACAGGCGGTATTCCAGGTATTTGCTCTATGCGGTCACTTTGCTCCTTGAGCTGTTTCTGCAAAGTTAATACTAAATTTTGTAAATCAGAATTGACTACGTTACCTGGTTCTCCATCTCAAGAATCGCTGGGGGTTCCACCACTGCCCGAGTTAACAAGTCCAGAACGAGGGTTCTCCAAAGTGTTGTTATTTGGGGTTGGTGTTGGTGGTGCAACCGACAATTGGTTAGCGAAAGCCTCAAGAGCTTTGCTGACCTGTTGAGCGATTAACTTCTGCAAAGCTGCGTTGATAGCCTCATCATTTTCCAATTGAGCATTTGCATTTGATTGAGATCCATCAGGAGTTCCTTCCCGAGATTGTCGAGGAGAGCTTGGTGGGGAAGGGATTGGGGTACGATCATCTTGTGGATTCTCCTGGAGTTGATGGATTCTTTGGTTGTTCTCATTAACATTTGACATGGTTGATATGACAAAAAAGGTTAATTTAGGAAAGAATAGATTATCAGATTCCCGGTAACGGAACCAATTTGTTTAACCAAAAATAAGAATTTTGATCAAAGCTTATTTCAAGAAGAACTCGGGTTACTGATAATCAAATAAAAATAAGAATAAATGATGTAAAAAATAGCTGAATAGAAAGCAAAGTAAATCCGTGTATTCCAATAGTCTTTTGTCCCCTTACAAATGATCAGCTTTCCCCTTTTTATAGCTATCTCTAGGTAATACGTTTTGTTTCTGTCATAATAGAGCCATTATTGACAATCAATGGCATTTAATGTAACGTTATAAATGGTAATCATATTTTGATTTAGTACAAATTCCTAATGTTTTCCGTAATTAATGCCTATTGATTACTGACAATACGTATCTATACCCTTTTTTGCTATCAGGTTCATTCTCTTAGCTCGACTTTCGATCATAAAGAGGTCCGAGCATTTATCTTTCTTGAATCTCTTAAATTCCTGCCCATGCCTGTTGTAGCTCGTGCCTCTTTAACTATTCTTTGCCAATCGTCATCCTTTGACCAGTCTACGTGTCGTGACATGTCACTTTTCAATCAATTCTATGTATGAACTTAATTTTTCTCAATACAGGAACACTTTAATTTGTTCTTAGTTTCCAATTTAGCGGTTAGATTTGGGGCAAAACCAGCCTATTTTTAGTGATTCTCCCAACCCACTTATTTTAAAGATAAATAGTACTACTCATCCAACCTGCTCAAGTTTAAAGTGTTGGTATATGATCTTTTTGTTGGCCTATCGAGTTGAATCCAAAATGACTCATCCAAGTTTTGGGTCAAAATGGGTCAAATCATGCAACCGAATAAGTCAAAATGCAACCCCAAACATATAAAATCTAATTTTTGAGATTAAGAATTTATGTAAATCTGGAAGAACTTAAGCTAATTAAGTTTAAAAAATACCTACATTTTTTCCACGAAGCGCAATTAATAAAGAAGGTAGGTTGAGTCATTTGAATGGTTTGATTATGACTAGATGTTTGTCACCCAACCCATTTTGACATTCAAACAAACTTTAACCAGGTTGAGTCATAACTCATTTTTTAATTTGATCCGCTCTGACTCAACCAAGTTTGATCCCACCACATTTTCGACCTGTTGGTCGCAGGAATTGTCAATTCTAAAATTCAAAACAGAGAAGAGATTCAGACACAAAATTTGAGTTTATACAGGATCATAGAAAGGAAGAAGAGACTAATACTTAGAACTTGTAAAAAGAAGAACACTTTGTTAGAGTGGGGAGGCCCACAAAACCAAAAGGATCCATACACAATCACTCCATGCATCAACTCTTTGTTGTTTTTCTCCCACTTTACTAGTACAAATATGATAACACTAATATATCTTTTCACACTTTTGCCAATAATCCAACCTAAACTTCTCAACAACTAACGTGGTCAATAATTATGTTTCAACTCAACCGTTCATCGGTCATGGAGTTGATATCTTATTGGCAAAATTGTTTACCAAAGCCAAAGCGTTGCTAGTCACCTCCTTCACCTTCCCTACACGATCACAGACATCCAATTTCAGTGGCTCGTCATCAGTAACATCCTCAAATCCATCGGTACAAGTGTCCTCATTAGTTAAGGCTGCACTCATCCATGTCTGAACGTTACTCATCTGAAACCTCAACGACTCGCCGGAGCCACCAAGCTTACGCATCTGACTCAATGAATCACGTATTTGATCGATGGTGTCACCGAAAACTGAGAAGCAATCATGGAGCGCAGCTACAACTCGTGGTTGCGCTCCATAGTCAGCTTCGCGTGATAGGTTGGAAAGAAAAGCTGCCATGCGCTTGGCTTTGGCTAGGGTTACTCCGACGGCTACACGAGCTAGTCGAGCAGGGTCTTGTTGTACTGCAGTGGCATAGTGATTAAGTGAATGGTAGCAAGTAGCAGGATACATGGTGGTTTTACAACTCGAGCGAATATAGTCTGTGTCAGCCGAGACATATCCAGGATTTAGAGGTTGAGGAGCGGCAGCATTAGGAACGATGGCAACTGATGAAAACATGGTAGGGTCAAGGAGAGCAAACGACGGGACAAGGCGGAGGTGGAGGAGAACGGCGGCGAAAAGGATGGAGAGGAGGGAAAGAGGATGTGAGGTTTTCATGGTTTATTGTATTTAGCTTTTTTTTCAAACATGCAGTATACTTAAAGCATTATGAAGAGTCCTTTGAACTCATGTTTTTTTAGGCAAGCTGATATATAGGCAATTGGTCTTGAGGTAAAATGACATTTGTGTCCTAAGAACCATATATAACATGTTGTCATGATTTCTATAGTTGAAAAGAATATTCATGTTCCTTTAATTCAGGAAGTACTGAACATTGCAAGTCTTGAACGTTTCTATTAACTACTACTCCTTCCGTTCCAATTTATGTGAACAGTTTGACTTTAAGAAAAAATAAAAATTTTTGGAATTTGTGGTCCTAAACAAGTCAAAAAGGGGTCCAAAGTATTTGTGTGGTTATAAAAGCTTCTCATTAAGGGTAGAATTGAAAATTTAAGCTAAATTATGTCCAAATTTAGAAAGAGATCATTCTTTTTGGAAGAGACCAAAAAAGAAACAGGTTCACCTGGAACAGAGGGAGTACTTGTTTAATGACCTTTTTATCACATTCTTTATTTTTTTCATATAATTATTTAAGACCATATTCTACTATTCCAAAGTCTCCCAATTCCCTCTATTTTTTGGGTGGGGTGGGGTGGGGTGGGGTGGGTGGGTGTATTAAGGTAAGACAGAGAGTCAATTGCTAATCCTCATCTAAACATAGATCATAGCATTCCATTCGCTTTTTATTTCTTATTGCCTCTTACAAATATCACGCTTTAACTTTTAGACCCGTGAGGGCTAATTGTGACACTCAAAATAATAAGGTAAAAACAAAGGCGGAGCCAGGATTTGAAACTAATAGGTTCGAAAATCTATTTCTTGTAAATAGCTGAATTCTAAAATAATAATTTGTATATATACAATAAAATTTTAAAGACAAATATAAAGTTTGGACCAAAGCTACTCGATTCGACCGTATCCAAAGCTCTAGCTCCACCCCTAGGTAAAAAGTAATTACTTCTTCAATCTAAAAAGCGTTGGAAGAATCCAGCAGTCATCATATTTACCCACCACAAGGAGGAACATTTTGTGAACAATGGACCTCCATCTTTTAACTTTCAAGTTCTTCATTTTGCTGTTAGTTTGCCTAAATTAACGCCACTTAACAGGGTGGACCTACAATAAAATTTGTGGACCGAATGACTTTTACTTTAATTATGTGTAACACCTAATCATAAATAATAACTACCAAACTTTGTGTACTTTTGACCTTTGGATTGACAAACAAAAAATGCGTACCCACTAGAGAAAAAAATATTATAATTGTTAATCTTCAGCATTTCGGCGACAAAAGTACTCTACATTATAAATTATATGCAGTGACGGACCCATAATATTATTCAAGCGGGATCAATTGGACAATACAATATTTTTGTGATAACAACCCACAATAGAGATTTCCATGAATAATCAAGTGAATTTTGTATGTTGCTATTTTTTACCATCATGCCCCTAAAAAATGTCATTTTCAAGTGCTTTTTTTTTATTACATAAAAAATGGTTAGACAAGAAATATCCATTTTTCTTAAAGTTCCACTAAATTTTATAAAATAACTCTTACAATATTTAACCAATTATAAGAAATTTTCCTTTACAGTCTTCTATTTAAAAATTTATGTTTTACTCTCAATTAATCTTGCCATTTAAAAAACCATAAACAAAACAAAAGTAAAATAAACAAACAATTCACTAAAACAATAGTAACTAAGTAAAAATATAAAACTAGCTCACCTTCATGTAACCCCAAAAAGTAAATAAGCACAGAATTATTTAAGGTATAAAAGTACTAAAATAAACTTAAAGAGCATACTCACTATTAAAAAACATCCAAAAAATCGCGAAAACGGTCGGAATCCAACAAAAACCGACTGATTTCCGACCATTTTCAATTACTCGATAAACTAATAGTCGCAAACGAATGCGGTTGCTGTTTTCCCACCGAAATCGGTCGGTTACTGTCAACGCAGTTTGACCAAGTTGTTTGACACAAATTAATTTTTACCCACCGAATTCGGTTGGTATTGTTAAAAATAATTTCTAATTATTTTTAAATTAGCGATCGAATTCGGTCGGAATTTTAATTATTCATTTTTTTTAAAATTATTCAATTCTGACCGAAATCGGTCAGTATTATTAAAATATATAATTATTAATTTTTATTTAAAATTGTTAATACCGACCACAATCGGTCGATATTATTTAAATAATTAAAATTTAAATCCGACCAAAGTCGGTCGGTAAATTTGATTTTCTGGGAATTAAAATGAACATTTCCGATCGAAGTCGGTCGACTTTTTGTGTAATTTTTTGGTAGAAAATAACTGTTTTTATAGCTGCACCACCTGCCAACAACCTATCACCTATAATGGCAGCATTACATTGCTGGCATTCAACCAATAACAACAACAATAACAACAAGAATAACAAAAGAAACAACAATAACAACAACAATAAAACCTATCAAAACTATATTAACAAAACATTATCACCATCTCCATCTCCATCTCCATCTCCATCTCTATCTCCATCTCCACTAAACTATATTAACAAAATATCATACCCAACAATAAAACGTTCTCCAAGTTAAAAGTTCAAACATTATTCAATAAGTGTTTTGTACTACATCATCTTCATCTCCACTACTATAGCATTCATCGTCGGCATGGTTCGAAGGATTAGCATCTGGGGAAGGCTCACGAGATCGGGGAATCGGGAAAGCACCACTAGCAAGAAGATTGGCTAGCTGACCTTGAAGGATATTAAATTGGTTGTCCATCTTTTCTAGCTGAACTTGAATGGTATCTAATTGTTTATCTCTCTTTTGTTCTCTAGCCTTTGTCTCTTCAAGCTCTGCTGTCAGCTTTGCGATCTTCTTCTCCATAGACAAGAGAGTCGACCTATCAATTACCTCGCCCTGGGCGGATCCCTATACCTTGCAATCCAGCCCTGTAACGCCGAAATGATCTCTCTGGAAGGCCGTATGCTATCCCCTTTTTAGGACCACCGACAACATCCAACCATATCTTATGCGCTTCTTCGTCTGAAATGGGTGATCGCTCGCCTTGCTCATTCGGTGGCAAGCTCTGAGTGTACTCCTCCACATTAGCCTTGTAGCGACCCTTTATTTAGAAGATAGAAATTATTAACTATATAATATTATAAACATTAATTTCAAGGTATAGTAGTTATGAAACATAAATATGCAGTCTCCGTCCGGTCCTTAACCCATCTAGATGGATCTGCCGGTGCCTTCTTCTTCCGGATGTAAGTCTTCATGAAGAATTTATCATGAGTCATCTTCCTCCCATATTTTTTTCATACAAATATAATAAAATATGTTAACTAAATTAAATAAATATATTTCGATAAAAATAGATGTAAATATTTTAAGGAATTACCAGTAGTCTCCTCGTAGTCCCCATGCTCCTTACACCCACACAACATATATATATACATATTAATGCTATATTAACATATGCTATATTAATATATGGGAATAATACATAATTACCCTATTGGGGTTGTCTCACTTTATCAGTTGCACCCTCGTATTTTGCGGGGGGTCCTATGACCCCTGGCTTTGTTTGAAATATAATAAATGCCACCTTTCTTGACTAACACCAGTTTCAGCTAAAATGGTATATGATACGCACCAATTATATTTTGACACGTATTTTTTATAATTTATAATTTCTTTTTATATTATTTATTTTATCTTCAATTTTTTTTAATTTCTTTTCTTCATCCTCCCCCCCCCCCCCCC